CTCCTGCCTTACTCCCTGCTGGCTGGATAGCTCAGTGAGTTAGGTCTCTGGCAGAAGAGCCAGAGGTTGGGAGTTCGATTCCCTGCTTGTGCCTCCCAGGAGGAGAGCCAGCCTGGGTGGCCTTGGGCAAGCTGCACAGTCCCAGGGCATCCCCAGATAGGATAAACCACTTTTGCTTACTCTGTACGTAGGAAACCCTGGGAAGCGCCCCTGTAAGTTGAAACCAACTTGATGGGACATAATTTATAGGAAGAGTCGGTGTGGTGTAGTGGATAGAATGATGGACTAGGACTCAGGAGACCTGGGTTCGAATTCCTGCTCAGCCATGCAAACTCACTGGGTGTTGACATGGTAAAAACATTCTTCAAATATCCTACACACCTTGAGAACCCTATTAGGATGATCGTAAGTTGGATGCAACAAGATGGCAGATAATAAGAGAGAAATTGAGCCAAGAACCTAAAAGGTCAGAGGTTAAGGCCATGACTTTTTGATTAACAAGAATAAATCGCACGTATTCATCCAGGTTTATCTGTTCCATTTGAACCTAGGTGCCATCCTCATAGTGACAGGAGTGGGGGCGCATTTTGTGACGTGTGATATTGTTACCATTGATCCCTTTTGCAACCCAAGGCATTTTGAGGTGGCTCCTGGCTTTGTCTGGAATGGGCAATTAAGATCTGTTAGCTGTATAAAAGACCTGCTCCTGGTGGCAATGTACACTGTTACGACGGGTTTGTCGAGGTGGACCCTCCCAAACTTTTTGACTCCCGTTTGGGTTGCACCCCTTCAAAATTTACTATTCCACTATCATTCCTCCTTTCGCTTAAAATGATCAGCGGGGGGAGCCAATGACTGCTGTCCATTATTTATTTTATTTTGCTTTGCTTTAATTTGATTTACATATCATTCCATTAGCGCAAGCCCTACTCTGGTCAGTTTACAGGTTAAAACCTGACACCCTCGGGACCCCACAGAACAAATCAACAAACCAATTAGAATAAAGTTATGTAGATGAGGTGCTGCCACCAAGAAGGCCTTCTTGCCTGATGCTGCTAGCAACACATCCCCGGGGGAGAGGGATGATGAAAGCAGGTGACCCCCAGCTCCTTCCACCCTGCGCTCATTCATGGCACCGAATCTTCTCCCTCGTCCCCAGGAATGGTCTGACCTAAAGTGCCGAGGGCTGAGGAACACAGACGCCTTCGTCCTGGTCTACGACATCTGCAACCTCGAAAGCTTTGAGTACGTGAAAATGCTGCGCCAGCAGATTCAGGAGAACAGGTGGGACTCATCATCCTTCTCTTTGTTTGAAAGACGCCAAGGATTTTAGGGAGGTGGATAAGAAGGTTCCTGTCTGTTTTTTTTTTTCAATCTGTGTTATGATGATGCTGAGATGCGTTGAATAAAAGTGGGATTGGAAATGGTGTTGATGGTGAGGATTAATGCTCTTTCCTAATTCCAAACCACAACAAGCCTCCAAGAATGTGTGTGTGTGTGTGTTTTGAACTGTGGTCTGAATTTCCTCACTTTGAGAGATATAGCTTCAACCCCTGAAAGGTTTTTTTTTCTCTTCTGCAAGTGAACACACACACACACACACACACAGAGACAGAGACAGAGACAGAGAGAGAGAGAGAGAGAGAGAGAGAGAGAGCAGGTTGTGAGCTCACACACACACACACACAGAGCGACAGAGAGAGAGCAGGTTGTGAGCCGTCATGACTGTGACAATGTTGCTTGAATTTTGTGGTCAGTGCTTAGCAGTTCTCCTTGCAGGGCTATAGGAGAGCTATGTGAACAAGCTGCAAACAAGGCTGCTTAACCAATTTCCTCCTCTCCCTGTGTGACCCATTAATTCAGGCAGACTATGGGAATCCAAACTCCCCAGGGCAACTGCACAGGAAGTGGATCCACAGGTCTTTCACTGTGTAGTTTTCACCTTTGTTTTCCAGACTTCTATGGGGGACAGGACTTGGGTTACACTGATGCATGCTGTTATTTTATTCTTAAGCCAAGGAGCCATGTAATTCCGTTGGTTTCATCTGTGATCTTTTCTCGTCCCTTTACCTGATCTCTCATGCTACTCTTTGCCTTCATCGCATGATTAGGATGGAGAATCTCTGGGTATTGGTGGCCTTCAACCGGTCCTACCGTTAGGCACAGGGAGGTAGCTGCCTTGGACACCGGGTGCTGGGAGGATGGGAGCAACAGAACTAAGTGTCCCAGAACCTCTCTGTGCCCCCTAAGCTAAACTGCTGTTTCAGACTGAACCAACACCAAATTAAGGTTCAGTTCCCCAGTCCAGTTGAGTGACGGGGGGGCGGGAATACCTTGCTCTTGGCCTCAGCGAATAAAATCTCTTAGGCCAGCCCTGACCACTCCCCACCCCAATCCAGCACAGCCAGTGATTAAGGACAATGGGATCTGTAGCCCAAGGCCATCTAGGACCATTGGATTTTCCTTATGTCTCACCTAAGACATTCTAGTGGGCAACGACTATAACAAATATGAAAGTTGGCCTTTGTTTCAAACTCAGACATTACTGAAAAGTCACTGGTGGAAAACAGAAAGAAATGCTTTTGAGAGGAAGAGAAGCTTTAAACCTTAGAAGCAAAGCAAAACAAAAAAAGCAGTGTGTTGCTTATATACTGCCGTGTAATGCTTAAAGCATTCTCTAGGCAGTTTTTACAATTTAATTATGAAGGCTACACTTTGTGTGCCCCCCCCGCTCCAGCAAGCTGGGTACTCAATTTACTAACCTTGGAAGGATGGAAGGCTGAGTGAACCTCAAGACGGTTACATGGGATCGAACCCTGAGTTGTGAGCAGAGTCTTTACTGCAGTACTGCAGTTTAACCACCTGGAGACTTCTAGGGGTGTAGTTCTCCATTCTGAGTGTATGTGTGTGAAAAAAGCAGGGGGTGGGGATGGGGGACATCTGGTCCATTGCGTCCATAGACCCCACCCATGTTCTAGTACTATTAGGACTGACACTGCTACTATCCAGTGAAATGCATGGCCACTGGGGTGGGTTGCGGTGTTCAACTGGTTGGGCTTCTACCATAGAGATGTCGGGGCAGATAGAGAGAGAGAGAGGACCCCATTAACCCCCGCAGGTTCCGGCCACTCAAATGGCGCCCGTTGGGTTCAGAGCTGGACGATCAGTATTCGGCTCCACGTTGGGCTTCTGTCTTCTTCATTTGTTGGGTGCTTGAGCGGCCTTTCCTCCTTTCTGTTCCAGGGCGAGCAGCACCAGCGAAGCCCCCATCATTGTGGTGGGGAACAAGAGGGACCTCCAAAGGCAGCGTTTCACCCCCCGGCGGACGCTCTCGATGCTGGTGAAGAAGAGCTGGAAGTGTGGCTACCTGGAGTGCTCGGCCAAGTACAACTGGCACGTGGTCCTGCTCTTCAAAGAACTGCTCGGCAGCGCGGTGGCCCATAGCGGCAAGAGCAGCCACGCCGCCCTCCACCTCCAGGGGGCGCTGCAGAGGAACAGGTGCAGCCTGATGTGAAGAGGAGCCCCCGGCCACCAGAGGGCGCCTTGACTACACCCAACGGATGGGTTTCAACAACTGGGGGGCCCTGGAGCAAAAGGCTGCGCCTTGTTGGCCACTAGGCCCTCGTTCCTGGTAGCCATTGGAAAAAAGCTGGGCATGGACCACGGAGGTGGCCTTTGCTGTGAGGGAAAAGGGGGCAACTCCCCCAGAGGGTGCCGTTAAATGTGGCCAAAGGAGAGACGGGCAGCTCAGATTTGTGGATGGCATACCAGAACCAGCTAGCCCAGTATTCTGTCTCGGACGGGGCATCCTTGAGGGGCTCAGCAAAAGCTGGCAGTGGATGCAGGCCCCTCTGCCGGCCTCAGGGTTCACCTCAGGCTTCCTCGAAGGCGGCAGTAAGTCAGGCTGTCTTCCATTTTGCTTCTCCCACAATGCCCTGCAGTGTCATTCCAGGGCATTGTGGGAAATATGTACCTGTCAGCAGCATCAGGGACTTAATGGCTGCAGCCCAGGCAGAGTGGTAAGTGGGACTTCAGCGAGGAACTGCTAGAGGATCTACAACTATGGATGTCAAGGATCCCAAAGCTATCGGCACGGCAATTAAAGTGACCCCAATCTTCTATAACCCTGCCTAGTGTCTACTAGAGGTGTCCAGATTGGTGTTTGGGGAGAATTCCCAGCGTTCCCCAGAGTAGCCCATGCTACTCTAGGTCAGCAAAACATACGTGTCTGTAGGTAGGAGGTGGGTGGGTGTCTGAAACTCCCTGAATTCTGTTTGAGGAATTCTGGGAATTGAAGTCCAAAAAAAACCTAAGCAGCATCACCTTGGTGGTGGCTGATGACTCTCATTTGGGGGAGGGTGGTGAACCCGCTCCGGGTTGTAGTCCGCACTTTACAAAAGCTTTCCAAGGTGCTGAAGTTTGACCGCTTGGGTAACGCTTGCAGAGGGCAAAAAATAAAACCCGGAATGGATTCAGAGCCTCCACCCCGGACTTGAGAGTTAACCAGCCACGAAGGTCATGATTAACTTGCCTTCCATGGACTTCCTCTAAATGCATAGCTACTACACCGGTGTAAGCGTTTAATGCCACATCTGCTTGGGATGTCCTGACCCCATCCTGGACTGGCCCCTGTAAGAACTGCTGGCTGGCTCAGGCGTTGAGGTCTCTGGCTGAGGAACTCAAAAGTTCGGAGTTCGATTCTCCCCCCCCCACGGGGCCTCCTTAACAGGGGAGGGACTCTTCCAGTCCCTTCCAGCTCAGATGATGGTGAGGATGATGAAGTCAGTCACTGCTGTTAATCTGGGACAGATTCTACAGGTGGGTGGAGAGTTTGGCTGGGAAGGGTCTCTAAAAGGGGGCTCTGGGTCCATCGGCAACGGCTGCTGAGACGAGATCAGAAAAGGTGTTTTTTATTTACGGTGCTGAGTGGGGAATCTGGAAGTCGTAGTCCACAAGAGGACCCTCTTTCCCAAGCCACCGCCTCTGAATCCCATTGCATGAGAGCAATAACATTGAGAGGGATCTGCCTGTCACCTGAAGGTGCAAAAACAAAAGGAAGCTTTCCAGGGCGATGAACCAGAAGCCCCTTCTGGGATTGTAGGAGGCCGGCGTCAAACGGAGGATCCGTTGCCAGACTAAGCGTCTGCTCTGGACTCTGACTGGATTGTTGTCTTCTTCTTCTGCTTCCCGTTTGGTTTGGGACTTCCAGTCACAATAAGAGATCCTTACTACCTCGGGGCTCGAAAGGCCCTTTTTCCTCCGGTGAAACAGGCGCTGGTAGTCCTAGATGAGGTCCAGCCACCTCAACCCATACCATGCTTGAAATTAAAAAAATATATATTATTATTATGTAGAGGTGACCTTACCTTGCGAGGAAGAGGGAGAAAAGAGCCCAAACGATCTCTCTCTCTCTCAGCTGAAATTTCTGGTTCAAGCCGGGCTGTTCCACCATTAAAGCCACCTCCCACAGCACCACCCACTTTCTCTTCTGAAATGGTGGACAGCTGTTGCCATCATCCCCATCCCCCCCACACGTACGTCTCTGTTCATCCATCTGGGGCCCTCGGAGGGCGTGGGACGCTCTCCCTCCCCATCGCGACAGGAAGGCTCCCCATGTGAGTCCAGACTCCTTCTGCACCTCAGCTGAGGTTGGCCTCAGGCAGCCAGATGTCTTGGGTCGGCCCCCATGGGGCAGGAAAGCTAGCTTTCCCTACTTTTCATCTTCTCATCTTAATAACCATTTTCTATCCCGTGCTGCTCACTCTGGCCGGAAACTATTCCACACATACACGTACAGTCGTGCCCTGCTTAACGATTACCCTGTATAACGACGAATCCGCTTTACGACAATGTTTTACAATCGCAACTGCGATCGCAAAACGATGTTTTAATTGGTTTTTTTCACTTTGCGACGATCGGTTCCCTGCTTCGGGAACATATTCTTCGCATTACGACGATCAAAACAGCTGATCGTCGGGGTTTTAAAATGCCTGCCAGCTGCTCAAAATGGCTCCCCACTGTGTTTTTGGACGGATTCCTCGCTTTACAGGCACCGAAAATGGCCGCCCCATGGAGGATCTTCGCTGGACGGCAAGTTATTCAGCCCATTGGAACGCATTGAACGGTTTTCAATGCATTTCAATGTGCTTTATTTCATTTTATGACGTTTTCGTTTTACAGGGATTTCACTGTCAAGCGAGGCACCACTGTATTTCCTTTCTGTGTTGTTTTTATCACTGGTAAATCATGTTCAAATGAATCCTAATGAAGGGCTGTCACTTCCCACCAAGTCATGTTGTACCAGGGGCCAGGAAAAAAAACAATACAGAGTTTCCGTCAGGCCTACGGAGGAGAAGAACTGATTTGGTAACACAGGACTTACTTGTCCTCTCTGACTCCTGAGGGCTGAAAAGATGCTCCCTCCACTGCCTTGGCTCCAAGCCAGCAGGACCGAATTCAGCAGAATATACAAAAGTGGGCAGTTCTTTGCACCATGATCTGTTCACTTGTGGAACTCACCATCACAAGAAAGCGACAAGAGCTTCCAAACGAATACGATTTAGATCCCCTTGGCCCAAAGTATCGCTTGGTACCTGGATGGAACCACGGACTGGGAATCCGAGTCCTCACTATGCTTCTTGAGGTGGGGGTGGGGGCGGCCAGCCAAGATCAGCTGGCGTTGGTGTGGCTCATGGGCTATATGGGCCCTGCCACCTGTGTGCCTTGGGCAAGCCGCATGGTGGTGGCAGAGTACCACTAGAGGAAATGGAAAAACATGGGTTACTGCAAAAACTACACACATCGTGGTCTCTAGACCTGTCTGGTGGCCAGTTCTGGCATGGTGGGAATATATTTCTCCAGGGAATGCAGTACATAGCATGGTTACCCATTCTGGGAACTTTGTCGTTAGAAATATATATATTTCTTGGAATTTTTCTTTTCATATTTTTAATATTTTCAGATCATGGATAAGCGAATCAACATATGCGGATGATGTGTCCACAGGAGTCCCGCAGGGATCTGTAGTTCTAAAAGTTACGTTCCCCAGCTTGGAGCGAACCCCATCCATATCCACAGAATATGTGTGTTTTGCCACACACACTCACACACACAACCCCCCCCACACGCAGACCCACACGCCTCCCTTAAGCAATAAAGTCACAGACGCCAACCCCTTGATTTCTCCATATTTACTGTCTGGGTTCAAGAGAACCTGTGGGTCAGTATGATGCGCTACATTCATGGGGTCAAAGGATGGGCACTCTATGGGCGACCACGCTCACAAGGAGAGTCAACGCCCGCATTATTACTTATATAAATATGCATAGATCATCAAAAACACCTACAGTACATTGGGATGGAACAGGGAGGGGGTCAAGGATATCCTATTGGCCCCGGATCCCAGGAAAGCTATGAGGGTCTTGCTGAAGAAGAAAAAAAAACCTTGTGCAATGCTTCAGCTCCCCCTTCCCTTCCCACCCTTTCCAGACTCAGGACTCATTTAAAAAAATCAGGATGGGAAAATTTACTTCCACCATGTATTACCAGAACTGGCCATTAGAAGGCGCCAGAGATCATTCTATGTATTCTTCAACAATAATACACAGCATGGTCTCTGGTTCCCTCTAGTGGCCAGTTCTGGAAAATACATCATGAAAATACATCTTTCAAGTTTTTTTCTTTTAATATTTTCAAGCATCAGATACTGATCCCGCAGATACAGGGATCCTACTGTACTTTTAGAGACAACCCCAGAATATCCATGGAATATCTGAGAGTTGCACTCTGATGAAAGCAACTTCTCCCAGCCGATGTTGTAAGCATAATCATCTTCTAAAAAACATAACATTTTCAGAAGCACTGCCAACTTGCGTAGTGAGAGTCACACCACAGTGTCTTCCCCCCCCCCCAGTTCTGGAGACACTTTCCACACACACATACACCCATCACGCCTTGTGGGAGTCCAAAGGTTTCTATCGTCTACAAGAAGACAAAGAATAGCCATTTGGGTTTTGTTTCAAAACACCCCCAAAAGGGTTGGCAGAAGGGGGGAGTCCAACGAAGAGGACTTCAAGGTTTAAGAGAGCCAAAGTGCTAAGGAATTTGAAGGCCTAAGGAAAACAAGAAAGTTGATAAAACCAGACTTGACATTTTATAATGGTCAACCAAAGGAATGAATATTGACCTCCAAGCCAGACTCGCAGAGGGTCAAACTAGACTTAACGGGAATCTGTATTTCCTCTGATTAACATGCTTGCCCTCGCACATGGGAACTCCTTTGGGATAAGTCCTGCGGCAATTCAGACTTGCGAGCGAAGTGTGTGGTCTACCCTCCGGGAATCCATTACGAAGCAAAGCACATTAAATGCAAGAATAATGGGAGGTGAGGAAAAGCACATGCTATGACAAACAGATGGCTTTTGCCACTTGCGAGAGCACCCCTCCCCGCTACGTGCTAAGGGGATCGTCTAGTTTGACCCTTCGAAGCCTCTCTCGGTGTCTCCAGTGCTCAAGGACTTCTCCCTGGGAGCATTTCATGAAAAACGGAACGGCAACTAAAGCCATGCTATCCTTCAGCCTCAGTTTGCCAAAAAACAAACAAAAACCCCATACACACACCCCGAAAAGGACGTTACTGCCTTTGAGATCAAAGGCCCTGTCCTCCTGACAACAAAAAATTATCTGTTCAGAGCAATAGCAGCAATTATCAAGGTCACACGTCCCAAGCGTCCGCGGGGAAGAGACAGAAGCGGGCGACGGGTGGAAGCAGCTACGGAGAGGCGGGAGAGGCGAAGTCCCCGTCGTCGTCCCCCGACCCCTCACGCCCACGCCCCCTCGTCGGCCACTCCCGACTCCGCCGGGCCGCGAGGGGGTTCTGCGAAGGAGGAGAAGACGTTGTGGAAAGCTGCCCAGGGGCGTTGATCCGAGGGGCGCCGGGAGGGGCTGCCCTTGGGCGAGCCCCCCTCGGCGGGAGGGGGCCTGCTGCTCCCCACGGCCTTGTAGCTGACGGGCGTGGGGATTTTCGAGGGGGCCTTGTCGGGCTGGGAGTCGGTGCGGGGCTTAATCTTGGGGCAGAGGTTCAGCCGGTAGGGGGAAGGCACACGGTGTGGTTTCATCGAGGATGCCTTGGGGCCGAGGGCCGCCTCCTGGGGGGAAACGCCGTTGAGGGGGGTGGCGAGGTGCTCCTCGGGGGGCGAGGAGCCCAGATCCCCGTCTGAGGCCCCCAGCTCTCCGGGGCCCCACGGACCGTCCCCTAAAGAGATCTCCGTCCCCTCCTGGACCTCCTGCAGGTCGTTCAAGCCCAGGTAGCAGCAGGTGCTCTCGTCCGAGGAGCTCGACAGGGCCGGCTTCCTCCACCGGGTCGCTCGCTCCAGAGACGACGGGGAGTCCCAGAGGTCGGGAGGGTCGGCCGAGCCGTTCTGGAAGTCCGGGTGAGCGGGGCCCGATTCGGGAGCCCAGGGCTTGTGGGAGGCGGCCCCCTTCCTGGATTCATCTTTGGGCTCGGATTGGAGGCCGTACTTGGTGAAGAAGTTGAGCGAGGAAGACGAGGAGCTGGAGGAGCAGTAAGCCGAGTCGGCCGCCCCTTGGTCAGAGGTGGCCGGCATGAGCCGAGGGCCCTCGGAGGCCCGTCCCGTGAGCTCGACGGGTCCCTGCTCTTCCTCCTCGTCCAGCCCCATCACCTGGGAGTTGGCCAGAAACTCCTCTTCCAGCCGCCGGTAAAGCTGCTGCTCCTGGCTCGGGTCGAGGCGCAGCGGCGTGCGGAAGGTGCGGGCCAGCTGCTCCATGCCCTGCCCCAAGCTCTCCGCAGGGTAGCAGCCCTCTCCGGACCGGGGCTTGCCCGTGGTCCCCGGTGGGCCCGCCGAAGTCACGTTCTGCTGCTTCTGAGAGCCGGGAGTGGCCGGAGGCAGTCCTCGGACCGAGGGATCGGTCATTTTTGTTGCAGGGAGGGATCCCCGGCGGCTAGCCAGGGCGGGGTTCCTGGTGCTCCCTGCCCCAAGCTCTCCGCAGGGTAGCAGCCCTCTCCGGACCGGGGCTTGCCCGTGGTCCCCGGTGGGCCCGCCGAAGTCACGTTCTGCTGCTTCTGAGAGCCGGGAGTGGCCGGAGGCAGTCCTCGGACCGAGGGATCGGTCATTTTTGTTGCAGGGAGGGATCCCCGGCGGCTAGCCAGGGCGGGGTTCCTGGTGCTCCCCGAAGCAAAATGTCCCCTTGCTGGGCTTTTGGTCCGGGGCGTGCTCCTTCCCGAGCCTCCGGGGCTGTCTTTGGGGTCCCGCGCTCGCACCCACGAGTGCTGGCCGTCTTTCCCTCGGCTGATGACTAAGACGGGCTCCCCAGCGGGTCTCCCTTGACTGCGGGCTCTGGGGCGGGGGCTCTGGACCGCTCCCGGTTTGCTGTGCCCGTTTGGGAGTCGGACTCGGCCACGCTCCTCCGGCTCTGCCTTCCTGGCCGCCGGCGATGGTCTCGACAGGGCCGCCCGGTCTCGCGACTGACTGCGGCTGTCCATCTGCCTCTTTGGGCTGGCGAGGGTTTGCAAGCCGGTCCCTTCCGAGCCCCGTCGGCTGGCCTCCTTCCTGAATCCCGAGTTGCCCTCTTCCTGGCGTCTTCTTCCCAGCGTGCCGCTCGGTATGGAGGAGGCCGAAGAATCGCTGTCTCCGGACAGACGCCGGGCCCTCGGGAGGAGCCTGGTGTGGAAGAGAAGCAAACACAAGCAGAAGGTTTATCATCCTCTTCGTCTCAATATTGCATGTCGTACAATTTCTCCGCGTTTGGAGGAAACAAAATTACACACAACCTACTCACCTGCAACCAGTTATTTTTTTGGGGGGGGGAGGTAACAAGATTGTAACAAAACTACATTTTAGAAGTGACTTACAGGTCCTAATAAAATCATTCTAGCCATTAAGAAACAACGTTTTCTAATTACTTTTAAAGAGATTTTCAGAGATACTTTTGAGTTTTACAGTTTTTGGCTTCTTCCTTAGCCAGACTAAGTTTTTTACACACACACACACACACACACACACACACACACCAAGTAACAATAAGTAAAGATCAGCACAAGTAATACAGCAAATACATGACACTGCCCTGCCTAGGCTCTGAGAGATATGAGAACGTGGGACTGGGGGGGGGTATGGGGCCTTGGAGGAGCTATTATTGGCAATGCGAGTTTCTTCGTCTCCCTCAGAGAAAGACATTGTGCAAAATTACCTGATGGTCACCTCAGGAGTAAGAATGAGGAAGGCACAACCTTCAGAGATGGCACTGGCATCCACTTTTGAATTACCTAGGATAATTCTAAAACTAAGAGTGCAGCCACACGTCTAAAAAGAACACCATATATGTCGATTCTGCCGTTATTTAAAACATTTAGTATATTTCTGTTCACATGTGGGTTCATTTGGCCAGCCAAATTATTCTTTTTTTTTTACCACCTTGCCAGCATGGCCTTTTAAAAACGATCCACTCCCTATATCATTTCCTTTTCATTGCAGCACATGTGAATGTTGCTGTTGATTTATTTACTTTGCGAACGCCTCAGGTTTTTGGCCACTGTTGGCCACCGCACTTGTACCTCCCCCCCCTTTTTAAAAAGTTTTGTAAATGCTTAGCAATAAATCACTTTTTCTTTTTCTTTCTCTACAACAGTTTTTACTGATGTATTCCTTAGCCTATGCCTTCCCTATTGTAAGTGTCGTCCCCTGTGAGGTGTCCACGGCCAGTTCCAATACAGCCTTTCTATAGTCTTACATAATTGCACATCAGTGTATATGCTGCTTTAGTGATATAACACTTATGATTTTTTTAAATGAAAAAGAAAATTTTAAGGCAGTAGCCTACAGCACCAAACAGCAAGAAATGTACAGACTGAACTGACAGCCATGTAAATGGGCCCAGTGGCATACCAATCATCTGGAAAAGAAAGTACGCCACTTTGAATTCTATGGTTTTACATATCAGGTCCTTAGTAGGTCTGAAATCATCTGGTCCTTAGTAGGTCTGAAAATTAGATACATACAACCTCAGAGGAAGAACAACGCATGGCATATACATGAATAACAAGACATCTATATGTTTGTTTGTTTTTTAAAAGCATTCTTCAAGCCATAAAAAAAACCATTATTCAGGTATGTGCCAGATATGGAGGTAATTGGGGCTTGTTTCTTAGCCACAAGACCAGCGCACCGAGCAATCATTGAGTCAGCCATGAATTCCCCGGTATACCAAAGTATTCTAGAGTCAAATGTGAGGGCATCTGTCCGACAGCTAACGCTTGGCCAAAATTGGTTCTGAAGCCGAGAAGAGTGGGCCAGAATTCCTCCACAATGATGTGAGACACGGATAAAGTCATACAGAAAACAGTTACTTCAAGTTATTGCTGCTAAAGGTGGTTCTACAAGCTATTGAATCACAAGGTCTACTTCGATTTTCAAACATTTGGCTTTGTTTTTGTATGCTGACATTTTCAAACATTTGGCTTTGTTTTTGTATCATGACACGGTGTAATATGCCACGTGTTGTTCATCTGAGGTTGTTATTTACCTAATTTCCAGACCTGCTAAGGACCAGATGATTTTTTTTATGATATGTAAAACCATAGAATCCGAAGAGGGAGTACTTTCTTTTTCACATGACTGTATATCACATGACTATACCTACAAATATATTGATATTTTCTTTAAAAAGAGGAAAAAGACACAAATCAAGAGATGGTTGATTACGCGCTAAGCAGTAGTTCGCAACTGCACCATCCCAAAGCGAGTTCCTGCAGACACCACTAGGGGGCAGCAGTATCTCACTCACACTCTCATACATTCACACACAATCACAAACACACACACACACACTCAAAGAGAAAAATGGGGAACTTATTTAAAAGACGTTGTCATTAAGTCGTGTCCGACTCTTTGTGACCCCCTGGACCAGAGCATGCCAGGCCCTCCTGTCTTCCACTGCCTCCCGAAGTTTGGTCAGATTCATGTTGGTTGCCTTTTAAAAGACAGGGCAGCTTTATAATTAATAAGCTGTGCATCAGGAGAAGGGGTACTGATGCCCTCTGAGTGTATCAGATTGCCAGGAGCCTGGAAAATTTACTGGGTTTCCGTTTTTTTTTTTTCAACTGCAAATCCCAGAATCTGGGGACAGGTGGGGTATCTGGGGAACTGCAGTCTAAAAAGGTAACTTTTCCAAACTCTAAATAAAATTTTAAAAATTAATTATCCTTCCGAGGGTATCACCCCCTGAATCCTGAGCTGAAATTCTAAATTCCAGAAGGATATCTCAAAAGAAATGGGGGGGAAAGAAGACGTGTACGGCCAACAGGTTCAATACGAAACCATTTTCTGTATTTCTGTTTAAACCAGCTCTTGATTTGCAACCCTGAAAAGTGGGACCTTGTTTGATTTTTAGAAGAAAGAGCCGAGCTGAATAAGAGAAAAGCTGCTTCGTGCATAGCGATCCACTGGCTTCCCAGCATCTCCAGATAGACGTGAAAGATTTCCTCTCTAGAGTCTAGAGAGTTTCTCTCAACTGTGCCGGCAAACCTGGACTAGGAAGATTAAGCATCACATTGAACAGAAAGCAGGTTTTTATTTTTCTGTCTTCCGTCCTTCCCCCGCTGACCTACAGTGTCATCCCCGGCTTCTGCCCTAGCAGCAGGCTACTTGCATAGTTTTAAGGACTAGAAACCTGCTTTTCTAAAGTAAAAAAAGAAAGGAAAAGAGAAGTAAGTAAAATAAAAAACAAAGAAGAGAGGAGGGGGAAAGACAGACACACAGAGAGAATGAAGGGAGGAGGCTCCTGGGCCATTAGATTTGGCAACGAAGGGACTGTGTCTCACGGAGACACACAGCTGTTGTGTTTGCGTTGCGCCTTCTCTTGCGGGCGCCTGTACGCCCGCTGAGCCACCCCTTTTGGCAACCATGCACAGAGGTAACTAAGCAGTTCCCTCCGTGTTGTGCACACAGAGGGAAGCGGCCAGGGAAAAACAGGAAGCACGAGGGCAGAAACCACCCCAAACGCAGAGACCGGATGTCGGACTGCCAAATCGGAGAGCGGGCCTGAGAAAGATGCAATAGAAGCAACATATGATGGAAAATCCTGGGTTAAGGGGGAACCAGATAGTGGAACTGGAGCTTCCGGTGTTCGCACCCTACCTAGTCTGCTGGTAGGAAACCAGAAGATCAGAGCAAATTTAGATGCCCAAGCATCTTTAATTTTGTTTGCTCAAAAAAAAAAGCCTCTAGTCCTCATGGCAGTAAAGATACCACAGGACAAGAGATCAGAAGCCTGGGCGGAGGTTGTCTCCGATACCATTTGGATGCTGCTCGTTTCGGATTCCCTGCTCAAAATAAGTGGGTCATGTGTTTGGGTGGCTTGTAATTGTAATCTTGGATTTTTGGGGAAAGGCTCCAGTTACTCCAGTTGTGGGATGGAGGTCCTTCTCCCGTGCAATTCATGAGTCACCCTGCAAAGCCTCCTGGGATGAACCCCGGGTGTAACAACATAAAAGGAACTAAAATGGTTGTTTTCCGCCATAGGGATAACTACTTGCCAAAACTGATCTCCTCAGGAGGAGAGCAGGGATCTCCAGAACGAAAGGAAAACGATTTAGGACTTTTAAGGACGGCCTCTGGCTGCCAAAGAGCTCACGAATATTATTTCCTAGACTACAAATCCTGGAATTTTCCAGCTGGGATTCTGAAATGGTGTTCTTGTTTCGAGGTGCATCAAGTCATTCCTGATTTGTAAAAAAGGTAAATGCTCCCCTTGACAATTTTTGTTCAGTCGTGTTCGACTCTAGGGAGCGGTGCTCATCCCTATTTCCAAGCCATAGATTTAAGGACGGCCTCTGGCTGCCAAAGAGCTCACGAATATTATTTCCTAGACTACAAATCCTGGAATTTTCCAGCTGGGATTCTGAAATGGTGTTCTTGTTTCGAGGTGCATCAAGCCGTTCCTGATTTGTGCCACAACTCTCATAGGACGTTTCCAGGCCTGCGAGATGTTTAAAGGGTGGTTTGCGCTGGTCTGGTCTTCTGACCCTGCAGCACAGGCTTCTGCGGTTTAGCCCACAGCGCCACCACGTCCTGATTTATGCCACAACTCTAATAGGATACTTTCAGGCCTGCAAGATGTTTAAAGGGTGGTTTGCTGTTGTCACCCTCTGCGAATTCCCACAGCTGAGCAGGATTTGCACCAGGTCTCCAGAGTCCCGGTGGGGCACTCTGTGCACGACGCTGAGTTCTGCGTCGCACGTACGGGGCAACGAAATAAGACGGACCGATGCAAAAGCCAGCTGCCATCCCCCACCCCCTGCGCTTGGCACCTTTTACCTGGCATTGAGGGTCTGTGAAGAATCACAGGTGCTGCGCTGAGCCTGGGCGGTGGACCCCCTCAAGGGGCTGGCGGAGCTCTGTCCCGAGGTGCCCGACCGAGCCGGGAGCCCGTCGTGGCCTCCAGCTGACGTGGGGGCTTGTCTCGGTAGGGCGGGCTCTCCGGCTCTCCTGCCCGGGAAGCCTGGGCGATGCCCCTTGGCATGAGCCGGATCCCCTCCGGCCGAGAGCCGCCGGTCTCCTGGGCGGAGCGGTTCGGAGGCCTTGTGCAGGCTCAGGGCTTCAGCCCGGCGCTGGGTGCTGGGACTGGCCGCTTGGGAACCTCCTGGGCTGGCCGCCTTCTGCGGGGAGAAGCCCAGCCCCCGGGTCTGCGTCAGGCGGTGAGCTGAAAAAGAGAGGCAGAAGATAGGAAAAGTGAACGGTCAGCGCAGACCCATGAGATGAACCTCAAAAAAAAAAATTGAAATTAAACTGAGCCCACGGAAAACCATCTAGAACCCTCTCTCTTGGTGGCCAGTCCACCCAGATCTTCAATACACAAAAGACCTTGCATCAAACTTGGTGGCGTTCCTTTCTGGGACTACGTTTCCCAGCCAGCATGGCTTCATGGTGTGCATGGAATTTGTAGACCAGATTCTAGAATTCGGGGAACCGTCAGCCAAGCTCTGGACAACAGGAATAGCAAGAGAGATCACTGTCATTTCTTACCTTAAACCCCCCCCCCATATACCTGCATAGGGCAGAAGGTTCAAAGCAATCACCATCTGGTTAGTAGGCTAAACCCAAATTCTGAACCTTGTTAAAGAGGGGAAAAAAGGAATAAGCCGTGCAGCCCCCAGTATTACACAAATGCCAGGGCAGGCAATACCTTTTATTGGACAAATTAAAAAAGTAGATTTACACAAATGCCAGGGCAGGCAATACCTTCTATTGGACAACTAAAAAAAGTAGATAAGTAGCAAGCTTTCAGGGATGAAGCCCACTTCCTCAGGCTCTAAGCACACGTCCTTCGTGGAAAGTGCAGAAAAATTGTAAGCAACCATCCAAAAATTGATGATACGTGTCTGTAAGAAACTGCACTCTCCATGAGGTAGGGGAGCTTAAAGCCTGACGAAGTGCATTTCATCCATTAACGCTTTCTACTTATGTATTTTTTTAGTGGTCCGATAAAAGGCACCGCCTGCACTTGCATTTAATAACGAGGAATGACCTTTTTCCAGTTGCATCTTGACCCAACCCAGACTGAGAAACAGACTTGGTATGAGGCTACCAAGAATCTATTCTCAGCTCTTGTCCAGGGCGCCCCTCTTGTCTTCTACCTGTTGCAAAAGATTGATGTGTATGGTCCCCATGAGGACTGTGAGATTTCCTGGGAAGTAACTTCAAGCCCCCAAACTCTCTGGGGCCTTCCTTGCCTATTTTCTGAGCAAGATTAAGTCCATCCTGCGCAGGAAAATTTCAAATTAGTCAGTTTCAAATGGTTCTGAAAGTGGGAGGGAAGGATTGTCCCCAAGTATTTGAAACTGACCAGTCTGAGATCCTGAAACTGACAAGCAGAGTTAGAGGAAAGGAAGGAAGGAAGGAAGGAAGGAAGGAAGGAAGGAAGGAAGGAAGAGATCGCAAGCGTCTCCCATCCTCTGGACAGGAGAAGTGGCAGTTCTTCTCAGCTGGGAAAGAAAGAAAGAAAGAAAGAAAGAAAGAAAGAAAGGAAGGAAGGAAGGAAGAGAAGAGAAGATCGCAAGCATCTCCCATCCTCTGGACAGGAGAGGTGGCAGTTCTTCTCAGCTAGCCACTAGCTGAGTTCTCGGCTTCTTTCTTTGTTTAAAAAAACAAAACGCTTCCATTTGCAAAAACAGATGCCAAAATATGTGGGCAATGCCAAAGAGGAGGCCGAAGAAATGGCCACCTGGCAGAATTCCCAGTCACATCAGCATCTTTCTCTTCTCTTTTTTTTAAATTGGATTTTCAGTGGGGGAGATGAGAAGGTCACCGTTTTATTTTATTCTGATGATCTGGTCTGGATTCCCCTTCGCAGAAAAGGTCTCGGGAGAACGCGGGCAGTTGGGGGGTCAGCATGGATGGAAGAAAAGCTGTCTATAAGCTACGCCAAACCTAAAGAAGTCTCTTCTCTAATATCCTGGGGGTTTTAAATTTATTTATTTATGAGTCTGATATTTATGTATTTATATTTTTACCCCGCCTTTCTCCTTAAAAAGTACCCAATCTGTCCTTCCATTGCCATTTGGGTAAAGGCCCTAGAAACATGCCAGGACCCCCAGCTGGACCCCACTTTGAACCAACGGGTGGTTGTTGTTTTTTGTTTGTTTGTTTAAATGTTTTGAATTTTAATGTAAACTTCTCAAGGGGAAAACTTATCTTTTCCTCCTCCTTCTTCATTAACCAGCTGACACAGGCCTCCCCTCTGTCTTTCTGCTGCTCTTTGAGGTTTTGCATGATTTTCTATTATAGATATTGTTAAGAGTTCAAGTCCGCGCAAGATCTTTGTTTGTTTGTTTGTCTGTTGTTTCATTTAAACTATTTTGACCTCACCTTTCTCCTTTGAAAAAGACCCAAGGTGGCTTACAACAAGAGAAGACAAAAAGTTGGGGGGAAAAAAGAGTACACAACAGTCCTCACCTTTCTCCTTTGAAAAAGACCCAAGATGGCTTTCAACAACAGAAGACAAAAAGTTGGGGGAAAAAGGAGTACACAACGGTGATTCACATCATTAAAAGACAATATTTAAAGCTAAGGTGGGGTGAGTGCCCGTCGCTCATCCCGGCTCCTGCCAACCTAGCTGTTTGAAAGCATGTAAAAATGCAAGTTGATAAATAGGTACCACCTCGGTGGGAAGGGCATGGCATTCCGTGTCTAGTCACGCTGGCCACCTGACCATGGAAACTGTCTTTGGAGAAAAATGCTGGCTCTACGGCTGGGAAATGGGGATGAGCACTGCCCCTTAGAGTCGGACACGACTGGACTCAATGTCAAGGGGAACCCTTTACCTAGGAGGGCCCTCTGCTGCTGCTTTGCCCTGCTTCAGACTGGCTGAAGCTGGAAGGAGGATGATGGATGGCTTCTCAAGCAAGACTAGCTTGAGCAGCTGAGATCTAGAAGGTGAGCACAGCAGCGCCAAGACGAGAAGGAAATTTAAGAGTCTATTGAGACAAAATCAATCTGCTGGATCGCTCATGGATTTAGGTCTGTGGCTGTGGAGCCAGAGGTTGGCAGATCGATTCCCCCACTGGGCCTCCTTGAGAGGGGCTGGAGTACTCAAAGATCCATCGAAGAGAATTCAAAGAGAATGATGATGATAATATATTAGGAAGGTCCTGTTGAAAATAAGGATGGTGGTGTATGAGCCCACTGGGCCTCCTTGAGAGGGGCTGGAGTACTCAAGGATCCATCGGAAAGAATTCAAAGAGAATGATGATGATATTATATTAGGAAGGTATAGGTCCTGTTGAAAATAAGTATGGTGGTGTATGAGTGATCCTAACTTCTCACCTTCTTCCCTTCAGATCAGAGGGCTAATTATGCCGGGGCTAATTACGTCCACACTCGGAGTGACCCACCAATGTGTTATTTTACCTACTATTTTAACTTTTTCATTTTCGTGACTCTCTGATGAAAATCAAATGCAATAATTTCTACGAGCCTTATCCGAATCACTGTCTTTTTAACCCGGCCTTCCTTGTTTCAGCCCGTTTTCCACCTACATTTAATTGGGACAGATTACGGCAGCCAATGCCGAAAAGTCGTTAAAGGTAACCCAGGACAATATGAAGTCATAAATGGAACGCAACTCCAGCCACAAACAAGCGACATACTGTCTGAGTGGAATTTTCCAGCCACGTGGTACCACGGTAAAGCATTAAATCACAACTCACAACTTGCCTGTAACCAGCTTTAAACTCACCTTCATTGCTTGACAATTTTTTTTGCCATTAATTTTTGGCACATTCATTTACCACGTTTCTGCCCTGTTCACAAGCTACTGGTGTGTGGCCTGAAGAAGGGGTTTTAAAGCCATGAAAGCTTGCATGGATGGTTTATTTTTAGTGCTCTAATAAAGGTATTGCATTTTTTCTATATTCGTGTTGTGTAATGACCATGTGGCTTCCTTTGAGTTTTTTTTAAGCCACAAGGGGGTGCTGTTGCCAAATGACAAAGGGCAACATCCTGTCGCTCGTCTCCGCTCCAGTAGTGCTATCCACTCACTAGGCATTCCAGGTGAGATCTTCCCTAGACAGCCTCCAGCCACCCAAAGAGAGTCCAGAAAGGCAGGGGACAGAACTGGTCCATATCAACAAAGGAAGAGCCGGTCTTGTGTAAGACTAATGGCTCTTCATTGCTGGTTCAAAACTAAGCCCTCCTTTGTATCACAGCAAGAGATAACCTGCAACTATAGGCTGTCCCTTGGAAAATGAGTCTCCCATTTGTCATGAGGATTGCCGTGAAGCTTAGAGGGAGCAAGAGTGTCCAAGAGGTGCATTGGGGGGAAGGAGGTACGGTCATAGGCTTAGGCAGCTAGGAAGCCCCAGAGGTATAAAATGGGGAAACCTGGCTCCATGACAACACTGCCGACAGGCAATCGCAAGTCATCATACTCACAGAAAGAAGTACAACGGCACGGATCGTGCTTGTCCAGGTAGTGCTCCAACGTGTCCCAGCCGCCGCCAACCCGCACCATCACGTGGCTCCTTAGCACCTGTGGGGGCAAGGAAAAACCCATCACCTGCCGACTCAAAGCACACGAGGCTCTTTTGGTGTAAAACATTTACGGAACAGCAGAGGGCGCACAGTCTCCGGAAAAGACCATCATGCGGAAAAACCCATCACCTGCCGACTCAAAGCATACGAGGCTCTTTTGGTGTAAAACATTTATGGAACAGCAGAGGGCGCACAGTCTCTGGAAAAGACCATCATGCTGGGAGAAGTTGAAAGCAGCAGGAGAAGAGGAAGACCCCCATATACTGAAAGCAGCAGGAGAAGAGGAAGACCCCATACGAGATGGATTGAGTCGATAAAGGAAGCCACAACATTGAGTTTGCAAGAGTTGAGCAGGGCGGTTGAGGACAGGGCATTTGGGAGAGCGCTCGTTTATAGGGTGGCCACAGGTGACGGGAATCCTTGGAGAAAGAGGAAAAGGTCAAAGGGACAAAGTACCAGGAGTACCAAAAAGAAATGTTACTACTGTAGTACTAGCAGCATTTCTTATCAGCATTATTCATGCTATCAGTAAATTACTACAGTACTACCACCATGATAGTAACCACTGCAGAATTTAACTACTGTAACTACACAATAGTAGTAGAAGTAGCAGCTCCTGGAATGACATTTTCCACCACGAATGACGGAAACACCACATTAAAAATATTGTAAATAAATAAATTGTAAAAGCTGCAAGGGTGGGAAGAGGAAGGAAAAAATAAAGCAGAAACAGGAAGGGCATCATGAAAGCCAAAGCTACACCTTTATAGGTTTCAGAGAGCACAACCCCACCTGTTTCTTTCTCATGAAAGTCCTAGAAATTTTACATGGCTGAGTACCTCCTGCTAAAGCGGATGCACAGAAATGTACGACTAGATTCAGAATTCAACTTAGTGGGGGACACAAAAATTTCAAGTTGCCTTTCAAACAAGGATGTTTCTAAACTGGGCAGAAAACAGACTGAAATTAAATGGGGATGAGTGCAGATTTCTATACTTACTGGGGGGGGGGAACCCAAATGCACAATTGGAAAATGGGGGGGATACTTGGCTCAGCAACACTACAAGCAAGAAGGATCTTGGAATTGTCATCAATCACAAGCTGAACATGAGCCAACCACGTGATGCAGCTGCAAAAAAGGCCAACGTGATTTTAGGATGCATTAACAGAAGTCTAGTCTCCAAGTCCCACGAGGGACTAGTTTCCCTCTATTCGGCACTGGTTAAGCCTCATCTAGACTTTCCCGTCCACTTTTGGACACCACATTTGAAGAAGGATGCCAACAAACAGGAGCAAAAGAGGGCAACGAGAATAATCAAGGGAGTGGAAACCAAGCCTATTGGGGAAAGACTGGAAGAACTGGACCGGTTTAGCCTGAAGAAAAGAAGACACAATAGGAGAGCTTTCTCAAAAGGTTGCCACACAGAGGAGGGAGAAGATACATTCGCCATCATCCCAGAGTGCAGGAAACATAAGAATGCGTTCAAGCTACAGGAAAGCAGAATTAGGCTGAATATCAGGAAAAACTTCTTAACTGTTAGAGCAGTACGACAGCGGAACCAGTGACCTCGGGAGGTGGTGAGCGCTCCCATGCTGGAGGCGTGAATATCAGGAAAAACTTCTTAACTGTTAGATCAGTACGACAGTGGAACCCATTGAATTGGACCACCGTCTATCGGATCTACTTTGACTTGGATTCCTGCCTTGAGGAGGGGGTTGGACTTGATGGTCTTCGAGGCCCCTTCCGACCCCACTATATTCTAATACTGTTAAGAAATATGCATGAAAATGCCGGATGCGTCTGTGTTTGGGGGCAACCAGAGCAACGCTAGCTGGGTAGCTCAGCGAGTTGGCGTTTCCGGCTGCAGAGTTAGGGATCCGGAGTTCGAGAGAAGAGCCAGCCTGGGTAGCCTTGGGCAAGGTGCACAGTCCTGGAGCACCCACTCCCGTCAGATAAGAAGGAAAGGATAAAAACACACCTGGAAAGGCTGCCGTGGGTTGCCTGTAAGTCAGCATCAACTGGCTGGGACGCCGTTCTCATTAACCCAAGTGCGCCGAGGCCTCCGGCGCCAGAGAGGTGGCTGGCAGCGACGGGCCGGCGCTGGCTTCTCCTTACAGTTAGAATAATTTATTCTAATTTGGCTACGCAGCCCTGCAACGTCCCCCTGCCTGGCTTTCTGCTGGGGCGGGAAAAAACAAGCATTTGGCAGAAGGATCCCTGACTCAGCATCTTCTCCTTGTGGCAATCCCTTGTCCCCGGAGCCATCACAAACGGTACAGAAATGGGCTGTGCCAACGCAGGAAACAGATTAGGGCAACAGAATGTCGCCTGTTCTCTTGACGGCTTGCATCTTTTACCCTGAGGATGTTTTTTTGTCTCCCCATGAGGCCAAAGTCTTTGGGGGTGGCAAGACGGTCCAAGAAGGGTCTGCAGGGGCAAGGATTGGGGTCAGGATTCAGAATGTGGACTCTCCTGCCCAGAGAAAGCTCCCTAACACTCACACCTGTCCCAAATAGTATGCACATCACCAAAAACAATTGCAAGAGGAACTTCTGGGCGGCGAGTGCAAGAACAGAGTATATAGCAAATGATCTGATCTAGTAAGCTGGCAGAGAGTTGACTCAAGTGTGCTTCCCGCTCCTGTCTTTTCTAGATCTACAGGCAGACTAGCAGGTTGGCTTCCTACTCCTTCCTCTAACTTCCTGCTTCTTCTTCTTCCTGTTAGCTAGAGAAGAGGCAGACTTACCCTGGGAAGGCCTCCAGACACACACAAAAAAAGAGAGGTTCCTTACTGTAACTCCGGTTCTTCGAGTGGTCATCTGTGAATTCACACTCATGGGTTTCATCTGCGCCTGTGCGACATTTCCAGAATCTTCTAGAGCTTAACGCTGTTCGCTAGCACCGCCCCCCCCAGTACACAGGCGCAGATAAAACCCATGAGCGTGCATTCACAGAGACCACGGAGAAGAATCAAACTTCAGGGGCAGGGTGAAAGACTTCAGGGGACTAATTCTCCTCTGCTATCTCTGAAAGGATTTCCTGAAGCAAGCCGTGTCGTTTTTCTGTTTTTGCCTCCTGATGAGTTTCAGGAGCAGTCAATGCCTGTTTGGCTGACACAAGGGGCAGGTGTATGAATGGCAAATACTTTTACACTGTGGAACAGATTGCCCTACACGAGACCCATCGGGCGTCGTATGTTTTCCTTGCCCATCCCAAAACTACTGCTACAAAGAAGTGCCGGAGACCTTAAGGGTTGAGGTCTCTCTGGCTGCAAAGGGGCTGGACCAGATGATCTTTAGGGGTCCCCTCCCAGCTCTGCAGTTCAAAAATTATGATTACGTTGTTATTATTCAAAGTTACTATGGAAATCGTAGAGGTTTGCTTGGCGACAGGAAACAGACGAAGCCCCCCCATGCCCAGTTCCTTGAAGAACGGCACTCGTAACAGCCAGCAATTATAGCCTGTCTTGGGGACCGTCCGGAGCCTCGTTAGCCAAAGAGGCAGGGTGCACACACGGCTCTTAGTCCCCAGGCGTCCTGGTTCCTTGTGAATCCTGCTTCTGCCGGAAAGCAGGCTGGCACAGAAGAGAGGCGTCCGGATTCCTCTGCACAATGGATTCACTTTCGTTCTTTTTGTGTTCATCTCCAAAGACCCACTGCATGGTGATAAAACGCATCAGATAATTTTCACCCCATGATGGGCAACCTCTGGGAAACCTCTTGAGGGGCACGGAGGACTCTGACCTCGGTGTGAAGGCGCATGTTCTCCTGCAAAGAACCACACCAGTACAAAACTCATGGTTCTGCCAAGCCCAGTCCATAGCCTATTAAGTGGCTTCAAAGTAACCCGGCTCTCCATGGAATCAGGGCCTCGACTTTCTTGGACTTCCATTCATTTTTAAAAGGTGGCTCGTTTCTTTCTTGGTGCGCTGTCGTCTTGCCATTCTTTGCGGTTTCTCCAAGATCCACAGAGGTTCTAAAACAGACTTCTCGGTTTTAATCGGGGAGAACGGGACGGCAGCCAAAGAGTTGGGCGCGCATTCGACACGCATGCTTTTGAGCCTCTCACAATGAGTGGCTCTCTCTCTCTCCCGTGTCGCTGGGGACCACGCCGGCTAGAGGACTGATGGGAAAAGAAGGGAGGGAGGCACAGATGTGCCCGAAGTGTGCAGATGTGGACCAACAGGCAAAGTGGCAAATATAACTGCTGTCGTTTAAATGAAAATGCAGTCCTTCCCTTCGTCGTCTTAACGTTCTTTTATCGTTCAAGTGGGCTAGCCCTCCCAATGGAAGAACAGTGCTCTATCAGCTCTTAAAAGAGAGAACCACCTCTCCAAAAAAATTGGGTCACATTACCCGGGGCTCTCTGCTAACCTTGTCCCCCACACGTTTGCTTCTCTGCTGCTCGATTCATCCTGATCTGGCCGATTAGAGGATGTAAGCGAGTGAGAGAGAGAGAGAAACTAGAGTGGTTGATAAAATGTGCAATTGAGAAATCCCCAGCCATGTGGCTTTTCCATGTGACACTTTCTATTAAAAAAAGAAAAAGCGTGTGTGCCATAAAACCTGCCGGCTTTCAAAGATAATCCAGTTGACTCCATAGATTCAATGCTGGCGGAGTTCACCAGCCGCAACAAACTCATTTTGATGGCAATTTGAATTAAAACCGCATCGGACATTGGGGTTTCAAGCTGTAACTCCCAATTAGGAACGTTTGTAAATAGGCAGCAAGGCTGGTGAAACAGCTGCGTGTAGTTTTCTTTCATGGGACCAGCCCTAGGAGACTGTTTACCTCTGAAGGCTTCCATTTTCCCTGCGCCTGAGCACAAGCCTCGTATTGGGACGCACTCTGAGATAAATCTACACAGGATTGTGCCCAACTCACACTTTACTGGGTGCTTTAAGAATCCAGAATAGCAAATATTCTCAATCAAGAAGTCTCAGATCAAACCTTTTTGAGAGATTTACACCGTACACAAAATTAACATTTCCCAGAGACTATTCTGTTGCTCCAGAAAGTGACAACAGTCTTCTGCGCCCTAAACACAAAACAAGCTTGTTTACTCTTGCAAAATCAATTTGCCTTGGTTAAATCCAATAATCAGTCCCAAAGAGAGGAGAACCACTGAATTAATGGGACTTACACATGTGTTGATTGAATAAAATCCACTCATTCAATTAATCTACTCCCGCTGGAATAAATGACAACTGGATTGAACCCTTAATCATTAAGAGGCCATAAGACTCATTCTAACATGATGTATACAAGGAAGGAAGGAAGGAAGGAAGGAAGGAAGGGACTGATGATGGATGGAAGGAAGGAAGGAAGGAAGATCCAGGCCTACAGAGCAGCACAGTAGGTTTGCTACTGGAAAAGAAGAGAACCTCGACATGGTAAAGGGCGGTAGAGCTGGATAGTTGAGGATCCCATATCATTTCTCTTTGCTTCTTCATCTTTGCTCTGATGCATTTCCTTTGTATTATTTAGATCAGTGGTTCTTAACCTTTTTGAAAGAAACTCACCCTTGAGCCATTGAGGAAGTTATCATTGCCCCGCTCCCCGCGGTGGCACCAGATCAGCTGCTCTGGATCCACCTGATGGATCCGCTTCCGGCACTGTGGCTGCAGCCACCTTCTCAGGTTTGGCTTGCTCCATTGCACCTTATCGCCCCCCCTTCTGTTCCTTTGCCCCCATATCGCCCCTTTTCGCCCCCCCTGAAAAATAAAATTGCCCCCTGGGGCGGCGATGTCACTGATTTAGGTGTTTAATTTATTTGTTTATCATGAAGTCTCCACACTGCCCCTCTCATGAGAGAGTCTGCTACTCCGGATAGTTCACATTTGGATGAAGAGTATCCCCACCCCCAACAAAAAATCCTAATAATTAAAAGAGCCATACGCACAAAAAGAAAAGCAACAACTCCAAATGGCGAGAGCTCAACAAAAATTTCAAATTAGACAACATAGGGAAGGAAGGAAGGAAGGAAGGGAAGAGAGAGAGGAGAAGAGGAAGGAATGTTTTGTTCACAAAATGTGCATCCCCAATCTACTAATGTTAATGTAGTGAAACTACACTCTTGTAATTTAGAGCAGCCTCCCACAACCTGCGGGAGTGGACTGCAGCTTCCCTAATCCCCAGGCAATGGGGATGGTGGGAGATGTAGTCGTGCACCTTGCTAGGGCACCAGGTTAGGGGAGTCTGCATTGGAAAAATGTTCCAGTTCAACAATATTTTGGAAACCGAAGCTCACCTCTTTAGGGAACTTGCTGTCTCCTGATGGAAAAGAGACCGCTTTGTTTTTTAAAAACAGTTAAAAGTTAAGACCTGGTTGCTGGAAGATCTAGCAGGGGAAGAGCAGAGGGGGCCAGCTGAAAGGAGAAGGTTTTCTATGCGGAGCTGGGAAACTTACTTTAAAAAGTAGTGGTCAGAACGCTTTGGCTAACATTACACTTCTACCAGCTGGCATGCATGTGGAGATGCCAATTAGCACCTCATTAACGAGCAGCAATTTGCTGCTAAGACTCTTGTGGCTTCCCTTATGCAAGCATCAACTGGCAACAGGATTCTGGCCAACTAATTGCAATTATAGTTCTGAGGTTCAGAAAAGTAATGAAATTGCCAGTATAGTTGCATAGCTATAGTAAAATGTAATTCTTTGCTTTTCTGTTTATCAGCAGCTTCAAAGACAGTTCATTCCCCACTGTAAGCCAATCCTATGGATGGTTTTATGCAGGAATATGGGCAGAGAGGGACATTTCTTTCCTGGACTACAATTCCCAGAATCCTCCAGTGAACAGCACAGCAGCCAGCCTGACTGCAGGATTCAGGGAGCTGTCACTCACAAAAATAAAAAGGTGAGGGCAGGCACTCAAACAGTGTTGTATTTGAAGTAATTAAAAGCTACAATTTCACTGCAAATTGAGTGAAACTATTCCTTGGGAGGTTACAGAGAAAACAGACTCATCATGGCCTGTAGGGTTGGCCCACGAGATGTTGCTATCAGTGACAGAATGCCACTAATTAAAGACTTCCCTTTTTAAATTTTGGGGTGCACACATCTCATTGTGCGCGAGTCGTGTGCACTCCAAAATCGAAGAAAGAAGTCTCTAATCAGTGGCTGTCTGCACAGTGGGACACTGTCCAATATAATGCAATTATACCTTTGCAGAAGGCCTAATTACAAGGAACTAGGTCGTTATTTGCAACTCGTTCCTTTTGAGCTCCACTCCCATGCATCCACAAGGGCGGGACGAACAAGCCGGGCAGCCTGTTTCTCCTTGTGATCTCACGGCATCAAAAGCTGTGACATGGATGGAAGTGGTTTGGGGTGAAGGTCCAGAAGGGAGGCTGGGAAGAGAGGCAAGAGGGGGGAGGGACAGAGAGAGACCCGGAGAGGTTCTTACCCGAACAAAGATCAGCGCACTGGAGTCTCCCACTTTATATTTACCCTCGGAGACTTTGACCATGGGAAACTGGGAAGGGCAGGTGCAATGGCCCAGAATTTCTCTCACCTAGAGAGGGTGGGGAATGGAGGGGGGTTGTAAAGAGGCAGAGAGAAAAAAAGACAAATGTAATTGTTTAGAAGTAGGTCCGTAAAGACAACCCCATAAGCCGGCTTCTCCACTTCCCACCCCCTGCATGCGCAGAGCATAGCATTACACTGCAACATTATTCCCCAGCTCAACCCCTCCATCTTCCCATTCAAGGTGGTAGCCCAGGCTCGAATAGCCACCTTGCACTGCTCCGATCTCTTGGAGGGAGCGGCCCACTTTTTGTTCTTTCTAACCCATCTGTGGCCTTCATAATTAATCATCACGAGCCATCAGGTCAATTCTGATTTATGGCAACCCGCTTTTTAAGGGTTTTCCAGGTAGAGGAGACACAGAAGTGCTTTAACGTTTCCTTCCTCCAGAGGGCGCCCTGGGACTATTGCGCAGCTGGTCCAAGGCCACCCAGGTTGGCTCTCCTCCCAGGAGACACAAGCAGGAATCGAACTCCCGGCTCCACGGCCAGGTACTTAACTCATTAAACAATCCAATAAACTATACAAATGGATAAAACCGGGCCCTCCAGCTGTTGATGATGCGCAACCCTCATCAGCCCCAGCCAGAACCGGCCATGATGATGGAAATTGCACTGTTGCAACCTCTGGGAAGTCGCCTTAGATTTCTGTTTGGTTAAGCATGATGAGCATTGTAGTCCAAAAGACTACGGAGGGTTCCCAGTGGAAGAAGGCAGCAGGGAGATGCTGTTCCGAGTCCCCAATGAATTGTGAAACCAACCAGGGGATAATGGGCTAGTTAGTGGTCACTCCTGCCAAACTCAACTACCTGCCAGGGTTGGATTCCGGGGGGGCGGAGGAGGCAGAGGAAATGTCTTGTGTTGCTTTGAGCTCCAGAGATCTTAAGGGGAAAGCAAATCAAATTAATGTACACGTATTAAGACATAATGGCTGTAGGTAAAATAATGTGCACATCCACATATTATATATAATATTATATATTATATATGTGTGATAGAGAATGTCCAGGGGGACATTGGCCATTGTTGCATGAGGCTTGTTGGAGTTTTTACCAACCTCGCATGCTGTCTGTAGGGTTTTGGTTTTTTTTTACTGTGAGGGACTTTTAAAGTTTAACCCACTCCGCAAGGCTGTTGTGACAATAAAAGAGAAATTAAGGCAATGTAGACTGGGCTTAGCTCTGCAGAAAACAGACAGCACATACATGACTGGTGTGCTCCACAGCTCATGACAGCCCCCACCAAGGGACGGCAGATCAGAGACTGAAAACCAGGGGAGGTTTCTCCGTCTGCCTTGGTAACCTCTTCAAATATAAGGAAGTGGCTGTCGGGAAGGAGGAGACGGTTTGGTCCAAACGTGGCTTCCAGTCCTCATGATTTATGGTCTCTTGGGTCAGAGAGTCTCCACCGTAACCAGGCAGAACAACACCAAGAGAAACACAACAGTCTGGCAGCTGTTTTGCAAAAAATGCGGAGGACGGTTAGCCACAAGAACAGCAATGAAAAGATACTGCCTGTTACTGGAGTAACTAACTTAACTAAGAAGGCACCAAAGTGGGTACGTTATGGGTCTTTTCAGGTTGGCTTAATTTATTTATTTCTTGCATTTAAATCCCGTTCCCATTAGTGCCAAATGCACTACTCTGAGCCGTCACAACCAATATAAAACAATTCTTTTTGTTCTGGATTGTCGTTTTCGACTCATGGCAGTCCCTTGGTTTAATAATCTCCAAAAGGCCTGAATTTTAGGTTTTGCAAGCTCAAGACTGTGGCTTCCTTTATGGAGCTGATCCATCTCGTGTTCGGTCTTCCTCCTTTCCTGCTGCCTCCTGCTTTTCCTTGCATTACTCTCTTTTCACAAAGGCCGATATCCAGTAGTAAGTGGCAGCTAGAGTAGGCCCAGTGAATCCGTGGAACTTACAGAAGAGTTGTCTCTCTAAATCCCCACAGATCCAATGGGCCGATTCTAGCTGCCATTTACTACTGGGTTTCAGCCAGCAGACCTGGAATACAGATAGCCTCCATTTAGCCGTAGTTTAGATAGAACAGGGAAACATTTCTGGATCACAATTCTGGGAATGCCACCTGGGAACTGCAATTAAAAAATAAAATAAAAACTTCCCCATCTGTGCTTAATAAAAGTATTGCATTACTGCTAGGATGAGTGGGTTTCAACAAGATAACTTCCCATGGATGGGGTGGGTGTGGAATCAGGTCTTTAACTTCCTCCCACTCTGCTTTATTTCACGGTGTGAAACATTTTTTCATGAGAACAGAGAAGAGAAAAGGGATCTGCAGGCTGGCGAAGAGATTCTGGGGACGAGACTAGAAAAAAATTTGGGAGTTTTTACAACCTCGCATGCTGGCTGGAGAAGGTTTCCCTGGGAAGGTCTTTTCTGGGCTGGGCTGGCTGTCAATCTATCCGGCACTAACCAGTCATTCCTTCCTGACTCTGAATTATAGGGGTCTTTTTGTTAGTTAGTTTGCTTGTTTTTTGGCTATATGCTTATATTGTTCGCTGTGGTACACCACCCAGAATAACCAATGTGTGGTTTAGAAATGAAATTAGATAGATAGATAGATAGATAGATAGATAGATAGATAGATAGATAGATAGATAGATAGATA